ATATATATATATACATATATAAAGTAGAAGACAAAAAACTTTATTTACAAAGAAAGTTCTGCTGCTTTCTCTATCTCCCAGTGGACTCCATGGTTATCCCTGAGGCACCTTACTTTGGAGATCCCTGTTCTAGAGGCACATAATTCACAATACTCAAAAGAAAAAAGGTACAACACTCTCCTATTTATCTTATTTATCCTATTTATCTAGCCTACCTTATAAGTATCAGATCTGTCATTTTCTTATGCATAATACAATTATCTACTATATATGACTTGACTTTTACACCTCTGACACACTAATTTGTTATTTACTCTCCAAACTGCATAACCTATTCTAATAACTTCTCCATTTTAACTCTCACAGGACCAAAATAAAATAATACTATATATTCTAGGTCACGTACCAGAACACATAAACAGGGCAGGTGTTCAGCACTAGTTGCTGCCTTCTGACAATACTAAATTCCCACTCTAACTCAAATCTTAGATTAGACTACCACACTGCTTTTTAATTGGTCTCCCTGACAAATCAGTCCACTCCAATCAATCCTGTTGTCATAAAATATTTATATGTTGTCATGAAATATTTATATGATTATGAAAGTTCCCTACCCAAAATTAAGCAATAAAAGTAGCAGCCAATAACCTAAAAGTAGGGCCTGGACTCTTAATGTCACACATAAGGAGTCCTGATAATTTGGTCTCTAAGTGCCATTCTTCCACTGTGTCCTAAAGACTGTGCTCCAGCCATGGAGACCTTGTGCTGCTGCACCAACAGCATCATCTCTCATGCTCCTGTGTTTCACATATCAACTCGGACTGCTTTACTACTTTCTCATTTAAAATAAAATTTTAAATGAGTGAGTTGGCAAGAACCAAGCTCTCTCTAACTCACCTTCCCAATCTATACCCTAAACAGACATTGGCTCTGCCCCTGTCCTTTATTACAGTTAGCACATAGCACTCTATGATGTTGTGTGCCTGAGAACCAGCTCACAGGCTTGTAATGTTCAAGAGTAGCTACATCAGTTTGGTGAAACATTTATTTTTTGGATGAAAATATTTCACCCAAATACTTATAGATTTTAAATAAAGGCTTAAAAAAACTGTCTGCAATCTTTCAGGTCAGTCTTAGAAATTCTTTTTTCCAAGTAGAAAATCCTCTAGAATTGGGTAAAGAAAATTCTCCATGTATTTTCACTTACTTCCCAAAACAACCATTTAAGATAGGGCTATGATCTCCACTGAACAAACAGGTGACTGAGTTCAAACCTAGACAACTAACCAAAGGCCCAAAGCTAGTAAGTCACTTTCAACTCTAGTAGAAATACTTACTTGAAAATTAAAATTTATAAAAATTAAATTCTCCCACTAATAATCTAGAGTTAATATAGTCTATCAGTTCTTTACAGTATCTATTTCTTAAGATTGTCTTTAAACATTTTAATTAAAAATCCTTAGTATCTCTTAAATAAGCCACATCAATAGCCCCATAGCTAACCTACTTGCCCTTCCAACTTAGCCTCCTTTAAATTTTGCTGCACATAAACAAAGTTACTTTCCTAAAGTGTTACTCCTTTAAAGACAACTTCAAACGAGAACACCACTAGAAAAAGCTTGCATTCCTTAACCTTGCATTTAAAATCACGAGCAATTTGGTTTAACAGCATTTCTAGCTATCCATCATTCCTCTAAATGTACCATGTTCCTTTTTACTTCCATACTGTTTCCTCATACTATCTCCCCGACAAACTAAACTATCTCTCCTCACAGGTTTAACAATTTGTAATAGACTACTAGAGCAAAATTAGTATGTAAGGCTTGCAATACTGATTCTAATCCTTCCATGAAATCCCTTATATACTATAGCAACATAATCAACAAGATAATATATTATAAAGTATAGGTGGTAAGAATTGAAAGAAAATTCTAGAAAAGTAAAATTACCAAAGAAATTGAAAGCTAGCTTACAAAATCAAACCAAAAAAAACTAAAAA